CTAACTACGGAAAACTGTCATTTTACCAAACAATCTACTAGCTAGTTAGACACTATAGTTTGGTATGCTCTAGTCTCATTCTAACTACGGAAAACTGCCATTTTACCAAACAATCTACTAGCTAGTTAGACACTATAGTTTGATATGTTCTAGTCCCATTCTAACTACGGAAAACTGTCATTTTACCAAACAATCTACTAGCTAGTTGGACACGATAGTTGGTATGTTCTAGTCCCATTCTAACTATAGAAAACTGCCATTGTACCAAACGATCTGCTAGCTAGTTAGGCACGATAGTTTGGTATGTTCTAGTCTCATTCTTACTACAGAAAACTGTCATTGTACCAAGCAATCTTCTAGCTAGTTAGACACGCTAGTTTGATATGATCTATTCTCATTCTGACTACAGAAAACTGTGATTGTACCAAGCAATCTTCTAGCTAGTTAGACACGATAGTTTGGTATGTTCTAGTCTCATTCTGATTACAGAAAACTGTCATTGTACCAAGCAATCTTCTAGCTAGTTAGATATGATAATTTGATATGTTCTAGTCCCATTCCAACTACGGAAAACTGTAATTTTACCAAGTAATCTACTAGCTAGTTAGACACGATAGTTTGGTATGTTCTAGTCTCATTCTCACTACAGAAAACTGCCATTGTACCAAGCAATCTACTAGCTAGTTAGGCACGATAGTTTGATATGATCTATTCTCATTCTGACTACAGAAAACTGTCATTGTACCAAGCAATCTGCTGGCTAGTTAGACATGATAGTTTGGTATACTCTAGTCTCATTCTGTCTACAGAAAACTGTCATTGTACCAAACAATCTGCTAGCTAGTTAAATATGATAGTTTGATATGTTCTAGTCCCATTCCAACTACGGAAACTGTCATTGAACAAAGCAATCTGCTAGCTAGTTAGACACGATAGTTTGGTATGTTCTAGTCCCATTCTGACTATAGAAAACTGCCATTGTACCAATCAGTCTACTAGCTAGTTAGACACGATAGTTTGGTATGTTCTAGTCCCATTCTGACTACAGAAAACTGTCATTGTACCAAACAATCTGCTAGCTAGTTAGACATGATAGTTTGGTATACTCTTGTCTCATTCTGTCTACAGAAAACTGTCATTGTACCAAACAATCTGCTAGCTAGTTAAATATGATAGTTTGATATGTTCTAGTCCCATTCCAACTACGGAAAACTGTCATTGAACCAAGCAATCTGCTAGCTAGTTAGACACGATAGTTTGGTATGTTCTAGTCCCATTCTGACTATAGAAAACTGCCATTGTACCAATCAGTCTACTAGCTAGTTAGACACGATAGTTTGGTATGTTCTAGTCCCATTCTGACTACAGAAAACTGTCATTGTACCAAACAATCTGCTAGCTAGTTAGACACGATAGTTTGGTATGCTCTAGTCTCATTCTGACTACAGAAAACTGTCATTGTACCAAGCAATCTTCTAGCTAGTTAGACACGATAGTTTGGTATGCTCTAGTCCCATTCTAACTACGGAAAACTGCCATTGTACCAAGCAATCTGCTTGCTAGTTAGGCATGATAGTTTGGTATGTTCTAGTCTCATTCTAACTATAGAAAACTGCCATTGTACCAAACAATCTGCTAGCTAGTTAGGCACGATAGTTTGGTATGTTCCAGTCTCATTCTGATTACAGAAAACTGTCATTGTACCAAGCAATCTTCTAGCTAGTTAGACACGGTAGTTTGGTATGTTCTAGTCTCATTCTAACTATAGAAAACTGCCATTGTACCAAACAATCTGCTAGCTAGTTAGACATGGTAGTTTGATATGATCTAGTCTCATTCTGACTACAGAAAACTGTCATTGTACCAAGCAATCTGCTAGCAAGTTAGACAAGATAGTTTGGTATGCTCTAGTCTCATTCTGACTACAGAAAACTGTCATTGTACCAAACAATCTGCTAGCTAGTTAGACAAGATAGTTTGATATGATCTATTCTCATTCTGACTACAGAAAACTGTCATTGTACCAAACAATCTGCTAGCTAGTTAGACAAGATAGTTGGGTATGCTCTAGTCACATTCTGACTACAGAAAACTGTCATTGTACCAAACAATCTGCTAGTTAGTTAGATATGATAGTTTGATATGTTCTAGTCCCATTCTAACTACGGAGAACTGTCATTGTTCCCAACAAACTGATTGTTCGATGGAATATCATGGGATCCATTGTGCCCCAGAATGAAATAAATTACAAAATATATGGAAAAGTATTAGATTTGTTAGATGGTGCTAATGCAAGGAATAATCTATCGTTAATCTATCTCACCGATTTATATATACTGATGTTTGTTTCACTATAATCACAGTAATCAGCATTATTCATTCACTACAACAACACAGCAATACAATCGATTGATTGATAGGAAACTGTTTTCATTATATACAAATTACCAGATATATTTAATCACTCAAGATGGGAACAGTGGCGGCGCTAGTCTAACTTTCCGAGGCTTTTGTGTTTTGACGCATATTTCGGAGCACAACAGAGTAAACAATCATATTTCTAAATTTGAGAAAAGAAGTGGGCGTTCATTTGGAGGCACAGACTATTTTACTTGGGGTGCAAATGCCCAACCCCTTGTACCCAGTGGCTCAACTTCCACAGGGACTAGTTGAGTCAAGTCTAAGGAGACCCCACCCTAGAAAAAATGCAAGAGAGCGCATGTAAAAAAATAATTCCTGTGAAGGGACCCCATCTCCAACCCACTTAAATCCACGAGCCCCACCCATCAAATTGAGTCACTGCTGGTGCCGCCACAGGTTGTGGATGTTAGTTGCAACAATTGTGTGGTAAGAAAAAGTCCGAAATCTATTTGAATTTTAGGAAATAGGATGGGAAGCGTGTGTAAGCAGCTAGAAATATTGCGGCATGCTGAATGAGTTCAAAACTTTAGGTTCCCTATACCAACTTGTTTGACATGGTCAATGATAGGATCCATCGCCAACGGGAGTCATTATTAATATCCATTTTTCACATCTTTGTCAACAAATTTTTTTGTGAATATTGCAAACAACTCAGCAGGCATGTAAGCCATGAAGTTTCATTTTTTTAAAACTGACCATCCAAGCTCCAGTAGGCTATAACATAGCGAGCAAATGAGAGGATTCGAACCCCAACCCACTTTCCTTTAGCAGACGTTCGTGTAATAACCACAGTCACGATCACAGTCACGCATAGTTAATGAACGGATTCGAACCCTGAGCTTCTTTTCCTTTAGCAGACGACTACGTTACATATGTTTACTCAATCAGCTGTTAGTATAATAGTATTTACTCGTAGCTGACTCGACCTTCACCTGACCTGATTTGACCGTCAATAACTATAATCGTTCACTACAAATCGCTGAGTAATAACTACTTGAAATGATGAAATATGGACCGGTTTTGAATTGAATATATGGTGAAATATCGTTAACTATTTCATGTGTCGCTATTTCATTTATATATTCATACATACACGTCTGTTGGTAATTTGTTATAAGCCAGTCCTCTAACACCAGGCGTTATTTAGACGTTGTTAATATTGATGTCCTGCTAATAAAATAGGTCGGATTTTCTCTTGGAATTTTATTGAGGACTCTCTATAGTTGACTAGGGTGCTATAATATTTCATATATTGGATAGTTTGACATTAACCAGTGGACGTTTTTTTGATATTTTTGGAGGTAACTTGAAACAGGCCCACGCTAATCAGCTGATTTAAAGTTTCAGGAATATTGTGATATAGCTTGGAATTCTGACATTGTGACAAAATATAGGTTTACTTACATCAAATATCATACTAAACCTTCTCTTTTACTTCTGGAAGATAGCAGAAAGCAAAGACTGTTCCAACTCGAGGAGGCACTGGCCGTGGAACCAGAATTTATCTGAGGAGATAGTGTAGGGTGTAAGAAGAGATAATCCCATATAGAAGCACTGGCCTAAGATAGTGAAAGAAGTAGTATATAGGTTAATTGTGTTTTATAATGGATATAACTTTATAACCCTAAGAAAAGTGTGCTCCAACTACTCTACTATCCAGGCCTGTAATAATCGCCTCGTCTTTGTAGAAAAAGACTGAAATACAGTGAGATTTAAATATTTGTGTATATACCTGTACCTGTAGTAGTACCGAAATCAGCCATGTGGACGAAAGGTATTTTACAGAGTGAAAAAATACTGTTAGCTGTTAAATCTATAGGTTTAAATAGTACTACTAGCTTTACTAGAACTTTAATTACTAATAATACAGTACAGGTAGGTTAACTATTTCTTTTACCTTGGGGGTTAAGGTAAGGGGGAGGGGGGTTGCCCTCACCTAAGGGGTTAACCGGAGGGGGGGAGGGGGTAAATAGTAGCCTACTGTTGGCTGTTATAGTACTAATAGTTATACTAGAACCTTTACTGCTAATAAAACAGTACAGAAAACTGAAATGAATGGAGTTTTGCGTCCTACTTTTCTGTACCATTTCGGGTAATAAAGACGAGTGACGCCATTCAGGGTACAATGAGAGAAGGCATTAGCTTTGTTACTATTATATTTTCAGACATTATCTCGAGCTAATCTATCCACTAAGAAGGATGTCGACCAATATTTAAAAGAATATAAAGAAGGCCAGTTTGATAAAATACCCGACCCTTCCAAACTAGAACATTTCAAGTAAGTTGTCGATATATTTCACGCTTTTCAATAAGTATTTCGATTTTTGGTTTAAAAATATACGGTATTTTTCTGCAGTTTACTGAAGATGTCAACTGTCTAATGACAGATTTGTGAATCTGAATTCAAACATGACTAGACTGTATTGATAGTGGTTTAGTCAAACTGGGTACCTGGACTATCCCTTCTTGCCCCTCCTGATATAGATAAATAAAAAATAGAGTAATAATAGATGATCTGACAAGATTCGTCATTAAATTATGTTCTATGGAATTTCCAAATTTCCAGCCAATTAGCATCCAGGTGTCATAATCAGTTTAACTCCAGCCAATTAGCATCCAGGTGTCATAATCAGTTTGACTAACTAAAAACAAAATAAAAAGTGGTTAGACAATAAAAGTTAATAAAGTTTAACAATGACTATCCCACAATTCCTTACATGTATATGAAGGATCATAATTGAACATAGCCTTGCCTAGTTCCTTCTAAGTGATGTAGGGAATATCACGTCGGAAGAACTGAGTCAGATTTGTATGGCTAAATTGAACAGAGCATTTGATTGGTTGAATTTTAAATGACCTAGAACAGAAGATGCATATCAATTTCTTCTGATCATGGATCATAGTCGACGCAGAAACAACTGGGTCATTATTCTTGAAAACTTAACTTAAAACGATTTTAGTGTTTCAGTCATCTGATTGGACAATCACTCAAATTGATTTAAATTCAGTATTATTATCCAATCAGATTACTGTATTTCTTAAAATCTGGATATTATCTTAGTTAAGTTCTCGAGAATAAGGTCCCATCCCAGGTGTATATTTTACTGAGATTAAGATACACTGACAAAGAACCTCAAATTCCGTTGATGTATTTTAGGAACGCAAGAGAGAGCAGTTTAGAATCAAATGAGTCTAAACCACCGACTGGAACCCACACACTACCTCATCCAATATGGTAAATATTAACTTTTTTAACATTAAATAGAACTGTCTGTAATCTAACCATACGAAACTACCCACCTGACCTAGCTACCAAAATCAGATTTCTAAGAGCCTGACCTACCTACCAAAATCAGATTTCTAAGAGCCAGACCTAGCTACCAAAATCAGATTTCTAAGAGCCTGGTCTAGTTACCAAAATAAAATTTCTAAGAGCCTGACCTAATTACCAGAATAACATTTCTAAGAGCCTGAATTAGTTACCATAATCATAATTCTAAGAGCCTGGACTAGTTACCAAAATAACATTATAAGAGCCTGACCTAGTTACCAGAATAACATTTCTAAGAGCCTGACCTAGCTACCATAATATGTTTTCTAAGAGCCTGACCTAGCTAGCAAAATAACATTTCTAAGAGCCTGGCCTAGTTACCATAATAAGATTTCTAAGAGCCGACCTAGTTACCATAATTATATTTCTAAGAACCTGACCTAGCTACGAAAATAAGATTTCTAAGAGTCTGGCCTAGTTACCAAAATAACATTTATATACTATAATAAGATTTCTAAGAGCCTGACCTAGTTACCATAATAAGATTTCTAAGAGCCTGGCCTATCTACCAAAATAAGATTTCTGAGAGCCTGGCCTAGTTACCAAAATAACATTTATATTCTATAATAAGATTTCTAAGAGCCTGACCTAGCTAGCAAAATAACATTTCTAAGAGCCTGGCCTAGTTAACAAAATAAGATTTCTAAGAGCCTGACCTAGCTGGCAAAATAACATTTCTAAGAGCCTGGCCTAGCTACCATAATAAGATTTCTAAGAGCCTGACCTAGCTGGCAAAATAACATTTCTAAAAGTCTGGCCTAGTTAACAAAATAACATTTATATACTATAATAAGATTTCTAAGAGCCTGACCTAGCTGGCAAAATAACATTTCTAAGAGCCTGGCCTAGTTACCAAAATCAGATTTCTAAGAGCCTGACCTAGCTAGCAAAATAACATTTCTAAGAGCCTGGCCTAGTTACCAAAATAAGATTTCTAAGAGCCTGGCCTAGTTAACAAAATAACATTTATATACTATAATAAGATTTCTAAGAGCCTGACCTAGTTACCATAATACGATTTCTAAGAGCCTGACCTAGCTACCATAATAAGATTTCTAAGATGCCTGACCTAGTAACCATAATAAAATTTCTAAGAGTCTGACCTAGAAACCAGAATCAGATTTCGAGAACAAAGAAAAAAGAATCTTGAAATAAAATGTTAACTTAAAAGATATCCAGATTTTCAGAAAAACAGCAATTTGATTAGTCGAGAAAGCTAGATTTAAAATCAATTTTGAAGATTGACCAATCAGATGACTGGTAAAATTACCGTATCTAAAAATTAGAATTTCGTGGTTTTTGACTTTAACTGTTGATATTTCCAGGACAGAAGAACAACTACACAATGTTAAAATTACATTTAAAGAGCCTGAAGGCAAGGTGGATAAGGTACTGGGCTATTTTATATCTGTTTTTCTGCCACTACCACTGTCTAAACCAAATTACTAACTTTGTTCAATGAATTTTTTCAAGTAAATTATTTTTATGATTGTTCAATGAACCCTTATTTCTTAAAAAATACCGTTGGAATGGTCTGATATCAGAAATTCTGTTTTATTCAGATCTGAAATCCAACACCATTTTTGATTGAACAGGTGAGGGGGGCAACAATGATGCAGGGGGGGGGGGGGGTTGCAACGATACGAGGGTGGCAACAATGTGAGGGAGGGGACGTCAATGCGAGGTGTCCCAATGGGCCGAATCCCCTTGAGGCTCCCAGAATCCAACGGCCTGAGATGAATTTAGAACACTGAGGGGGCCATGGCCCTATGGTCTACTCCCTAAATAAACCATTAATCCAACACCAAGTTCCATGGAACAGAGGGTGTGAGGGATGAGAGGGCTGGGGATAGAAACATCCCGCCATTTTGTCAAATAGAAAATATTTCAATATCAATAGAAATATTAATCAAAATAAGCCAAATCACTGAGCAGGCTGGAGGAACACCTAGGATACTTATATCATTTGGTTATTATAAATTACTATTTCAGATGGCGTATTTTACAGTGAGAACTTTTAGAAAAGGTTTTGATATATTTTCCGGATTTATATTTGGCCAGCGAACAGAGAAGAAATGGCTAAAGTGAGTTATAGTGAGTTATTTTTGAAATGATACAAAATGGTACAAATTGTGGGCTGACTGACTTGGCAACTTTCGAGGCTGAATTCAACTTGTTGGCTACTCTGTGAAGGCGTCTTGTCGCAAGCGTCTGATAGGGTTCTCCCAAAAATTGAATTGATTTGATTAACTCATGTTTTGGGCAAAAACGTAAACACGTTTTCTACATCTTCTGAATCTTCAGTCTTCATTGTAGACTTTCTGTCGTCTATGATGGCGTACCATCCAATCACTGCATTTACAAACTCCCGTGAGATACAAGAATAGCGGCAGTTGTAGTCAAGGTATAAGACGAACTTCGAAATACCTTGACCATTGTGAATATGCTATTTTGTTGGATTTTGTAAGAATTAAAAGTGGAAAATTTTTGGATTTGAAAGTTTAAAGTATCACTTTATTTCAGTCGAATCAATCATCTTGTACTATTTGTTCGAACACCCCTCCAACCCACAGCATTTTGGTTGGGGTGGGGGCAAAGCTGGACCAGAATCTTTTGTTTTAACCCTGACCCCCACCCCTTGACCCCTCCGTACAAATGCCCCGGAAATGAACAAATGGATGTGATGGCAAGAAACTTAATGTTGCATTGTCTTTATTTTCAGTCGTATCTGTTTCTTAGAAACAGTTGCTGGTGTTCCAGGAATGGTGGCGGCCATGACACGTCATATGAAATCATTACGGAGATTACAGAGAGATTACGGTTGGATTCACACACTTCTCGGTAAATTAATACCACTGTATTGTATATTTATTATTGTATTGGTGGTACAACTTGAAGGTTAGGCCTACACTGGGGCAACACTCAAATCTTGGGAGGGTTAGACTCTAGAAGCTATTACACATACAGTATTTTTGAATTAATACATGTGTTATAATGGTGGTAGAAGTTGGGGATTGGGCCTACACTGGGGTAACACTCAGGTTAGACTCTAGAAGCTATTACACATACAGTATTTTTGAATTGATACATGTGTTATAATGGTGGTAGAAGTTGGGGATTGGGCCTACACTGGGGTAACACTCAGGTTAGACTCTAGAAGCTATTACACATACAGTATTTTTGAATTAATACATGTGTTATAATGGTGGTAGAAGTTGGGGATTGGGCCTACACTGGGGTAACACTCAGGTTAGACTCTAGAAGCTATTACACATACAGTATTTTTGAATTAATACATGTGTTATAATGGTGGTAGAAGTTGGGGATTGGGCCTACACTGGGTAACACTCAGGTTAGACTCTAGAAGCTATTACACATACAGTATTTTTGAATTAATACATGTGTTATAATGGTGGTAGAAGTTGGGGATTGGGCCTACACTGGGGTAACACTCAGGTTAGACTCTAGAAGCTATTACACATACAGTATTTTTGAATTAATACATGTGTTATAATGGTGGTAGAAGTTGGGGATTGGGCCTACACTGGGGTAACACTCAGGTTAGACTCTAGAAGCTATTACACATACAGTATTTTTGAATTAATACATGTGTTATAATGGTGGTAGAAGTTGGGGATTGGGCCTACACTGGGGTAACACTCAGGTTAGACTCTAGAAGCTATTAAACATACACATTTTTTAAATTAATACATGCTGTTCACTCTATATACCATTCCATCAAACTTTTAGTACATTTAGGTTCCGTTAGAACAACCCTAAGACAATCTAAGACTCTCAACAGAATTTTGGACATGATTTTCCACTTCGCAAATAAATGATTGTAAACGATGTGGTCAGACAGTAATAGGCCCGTGGCCAGACTGAATGGTTTGAAGGGGCAAGTACTGTATCCAAGGGGGGGGGGGGGAATCTTTTCATGAGAAGGGGTCAATCCATTTTTTCGTCTGCCTCCCTTACCTCCCTTTGTAACTAAACTTTTGAATGTTTGTAGAAGAAGCAGAGAATGAACGAATGCATTTACTAACAGCTATGGAATTAAGACAACCCTCAACCTTTTTTCGTTTGTCTGTGATAGGAGCTCAAGGTAAGAAAAATACATATTAATATATAATTTACCAGCGAGATGAATTAAACATTTTGATAAGTTGATTTGTTTCTATATGCTCCAAGTTACAATCAATTTTGTCTTCACAAGTACAAATTACTGATATAACTTAAACTCAATCGTAATGGATTATACTACAGATAAATTACTTTATTTTGCTCTGGAAGTGTATTTGTTACAATGTTTTTGAATGTCAAATGACATCACAAGTCTCAAGCACTCTAACCAAATTATGCTACACCCCCCTCTATATAATATCTATTGTTGTCTCTCTATGTGTTACAGTGTATTTGCATGTTACAAGTTTCCATCACTCTATCTAATTGAGCTACACCCCTCCCCTTTATATTCTATCTCTTGTTATATTTTTATAGGTGTATTTGTTACAGTGTATTTGCATGTTACAAGTTTCCATCACTCTATCTAATTGAGCTACACCCCTCCCCTTTTTATTCTATCTATTGTTATATTTTTATAGGTGTATTTGTTACAGTGTATTTGCATGTGACAAGTTTCCATCACTCTATCTAATTGAGCTACACCCCTCCCCTTTATATTCTATCTCTTGTTATATTTTTATAGCTGTATTTGTTACAGTGTATTTGCATGTTACAAGTTTCCATCACTCTATCTAATTGAGCTACACCCCTCCCCTTTATATTCTATCTATTGTTATATTTTTATAGCTGTATTTGTTACAGTGTATTTGCATGTTACAAGTTTCCATCACTCTATCTAATTGAGCTACACCCCTCCCCTTTATATTCTATCTCTTGTTATATTTTTATAGGTGTATTTGTTACCATGTTTACGGGAGCCTATATTGTCAGTCCTAAATTCTGTCATCGGTTTGTGGGGTATTTAGAGGAAGAAGCTGTCAAAACTTACACCAAATGTTTAGAGGTAAGCCCCATTATGTCCAGGAAGAATCTCACTCGTGAATAAAATCTTGAAAACAATAAGTAAAAGTGTTGTCATGGAGATCAGAAAATGCAGAAAAGACATGCCTGGTCTACAAAACCATTATCACTATGCAATTTGGTTTGTCAACTTGACATCACTCTCAATGAGTTCAATATAAGTTTCTCTTAGTCCGAAACACCTGTCTCTATTCCAGCCTCTGATAGATATTTTAAGCCGACAACTTGGGCTGGGTATCGATTACCAAATTGAGATCGATTATCAATGACAGACTACTGAATTATAATCGATTTATAATCGAATTAATTCAATAGAGAAACCCTGTAAATACTAAATTATAAACATGCCAAATTCTCCATTGCAAGGGTAACTTTTGTGTCGTAGAAGTATATTCTTGCTTTGATCGGTTATTATTGTTTATGTTGGGTATGTTATGGTGGAAGAGATTACTACCTAACGGAGAAAATGTACCTTTGACATAAAATCGATTATGAAATCTGATAATCGATTATCGAAATTATAAATTCCTGGCGACGATAGCCCTACCCACAACTTTCAAAATAGTTAGAGGCTGGAATAGAGGCGCATATTTCTCCATTTAATACAAGGCTGTCGATATAACTCTTAGTATTCCAAGACGGGAGTAAAAAAGTGCGATGTAAAATCTATTTCTTGGATAAGAGTTTGGTCATCATTTTTATTATTATTATTATTTATCACTATCTTTTTCTTGTTGGCTGTAGGATATTGAGTGTGGTTCAATGCAGCATTGGAAAAAACAACAAGCTCCAGAATTAGCTGTTAGATACTGGAAATTAGCTGTAAGTAATAGACGTTACTGGGAATCATTAGGTGGAAGGGTTCGAGTGGGACTACAGATTGGAAAGAATTTTAAACTGGGGAGATGGGGAGGGCCAGCCTCAGAAACGCTACTGTGTAGAATCTAATATGAACACGATCACGGAGCTCGTCCACAACAAGATGTCATGACGCTGTAATTTGCTGTAAATTGCTCACATGGTAAATAAAGGGTGAACAAAGTCCAGGGGCCTTATTCTCAAAAACTTAACTTGGAATAATTTTAGCTTTCTAGTCATCCGATCGGTGAATCACTAGACATTATTAGCTATGTGGACTCTCTGAAAGGGATTCTGAGTTGACAAACACTGTTGTAGTGTGGCATCGGGTGTTCTCGAAAGTGTGCGAAGTACTGAATTTGAATAAAAAGACTGAAGACCGTTCTATTTTCTGTAATTTCAGGATGATGCGACAATGAAAGATGTGATACTGGCAATACGGGCTGACGAGGCCCACCATAGAACTGTGAATCATACCTTGGCTCAATGAAAGAAACAGATTTGAATAAAAAGAAATTAGCTCACTCACTTGCAAAACCCTCGACAGTTGGAAATCGAAAAAGAGCAGGTTAATGCCGCTGTTCTGGCAAAATTTCCCTCATTGCACACTGCATGGCGTTACCCGTCTTTATTAGAACACATGGTGAAGAAAAGTAGGACGTAAAACTCACGAATCATAGATTATCACTTGATAAACTTCATCTAACTAGAAACACCAGACATCACCCAACTCTGGGTTATATTCTTGAGAGTGGTCCACTGTTGTACTATTGTCTGTTTATAGAAACAGCAGACATCATCCAACTCTGGGTTATATTCTAGAGGGTGGTGTCCACTGTTGTACTATTGTCTGTTTATAGAAACACCAGACATCATCCAACTCTGGGTTATATTCTAGAGGGTGGTGTCCACTGTTGTTCTATTGTCTGTTTATAGAAACACCAGACATCATCCAACTCTGGGTTATATTCTAGAGAGTGGTGTCCACTGTTGTACTATTGTCTGTTTATAGAAACACCAGACATCACCCAACTCTGGGTTATATTCTAGAGGAAGGTCAACTTTTGTACTATTGTCTGTTTATAGAAACACCAGACATCACCTAACTCTGGGTTATATTCTAGAGAGTGGTCCACTGTTGTACTATTGTCTGTTTATAGAAACACCAGACACCATCCAACTCTGGGTTATATTCTAGAGAGTGGTGTCCACTGTTGTACTATTGTCTGTTTATAGAAACACCAGACATCATCCAACTCTGGGTTCTATTCTAGAGAGTGGTGTCCACTGTTGTACTATTATCTGTTTATAGAAACACCAGACATCACCTAACTCTGGGTTATATTCTAGAGAGTGGTCCACTGTTGTTCTATTGTCTGTTTATAGAAACACCAGACATCATCCAACTCTGGGTTATATTCTAGAGAGTGGTGTCCACTGTTGTACTATTGTCTGTTTATATAAACACCAGACATCCCCTAACTCTGGGTTATATTCTAGAGGATGGTCAACTTTTGTACAATTGTCTGTTTATAGAAACACCATCACCTAACTCTGGGTTATATTCTAGAGAGTGGTCCACTGTTGTACTATTGTCTGTTTATAGAAACACCAGACATCATCCAACTCTGGGTTATATTCTAGAGAGTGGTCCACTGTTGTACTATTATCTGTTTGTAGAAACACTAGACATCACCTAACTCTGGGTTATATTCTAGAGAGTGGTCCACTGTTGTACTATTATCTGTTTGTAGAAACACTAGACATCACCTAACTCTGGGTTATATTCTAGAGAGTGGTCCACTGTTGTACTATTATCTGTTTGTAGAAACACTAGACATCACCTAACTCTGGGTTATATTCTAGAGGGTAGTCCACTGTTGTACTATTGTCTGTTTATAGAAACACCAGACATCACCTAACTCTGGGTTATATTCTAGAGAGTAGTCCACTGTTGTATCATTGTATGTTTATAGAACCACCAGACATCACCTACCTCTGTGTTATATTCTAGAGAGTGGTCTACTGTTGTACTATTGTCTGTTTATAGAAACACCAGACATCACCTAACTCTAGGTTATATTCTAGAGGGTGGTCAACTGTTGTATTATTGTCTGTTTATAGAAACACCAGGCATCACTGTTGTATTATTGTCTGTTTATAGAAACATCAGACATCACCTAACTCTGGGTTAAATTCTAGAGAGTGGTCCACTATTGTATTATTGTCTGTTTATAGAAACATCAGACATCACCTAACTCTGGGTTATATTCTAGAGAGTGGTCCACTGTTGTATTATTGTCTGTTTATAGAAACACCAGACATCACTGTTGTATTATTGTCTGTTTATAGAAACACTTGTGATGGCATTTAATATTACAATTGTATTTAGATCTGAGTAGTGTAATTTGGTTCAATTCTTCAATAATTATTCCTGATTCAACTCAAACTATAGCAATTGATAAATCACTGTAAAACTTTTTTAGAACAAGTTACTATATTGAATAAGTCTACATGTATAGTATTTATTTCTTGTACATTGTTGTTTAACCTCTTCCTCGTCGTATCCCCAATAAGGGTTTTATGAAGCCTTATCAATTAACTTGAAGTATGGGTTGTGGTTTTAACACGATGCCTCTTCTTTTGAACAAATTTTTCATTCAAGCTTTAGTCTTATGAGTCACAGGTATTGGTATATAAATATAGTTATTTTATAAAAAATTGTTTTTGAATGACATTATTTATTTATTGTAGGTTACATGTTATAAGTTTGTAATTTGTCTCGCTACATTATACTATACTGTTAAACTGGTATTAAATAAACAAATATGATAATGCTTAAAAAAAATAATAGCAGTTAAATACCTTCAAACATAGGCTAATCAACACAGCGCGGAAATATTCAATTGTTCCTTCTTGATGACCTGGGAACTTGTGGCTTAATTCACTTCAATAGGATCCTAGTCGGGTTAAAAACACTGTGTTGCCCAGCAAAATATATTGTAAAGATCTATCAACCCCACTTCTCCTGATTACGGTTACATGATTATATTCGAACCTGTATTCGAATATCGAAGTTTTGAGATGGGTACTAACTTCATAATGTTTACCTCAACGACAGGTCACGTGACAGTAGAGAATGTAAACAGACAAAATGGACGTTCTAGAAAATGATGAAAACTTTGACGGACCACTGAAAACTTTCGATATCTTCAAAGGTTTGTAAACGCGACAAAATGGCTACAAGCACACTTTAACGATTTATTGCTGAGATGAAAACTTTGAAAATTCGAAAATCTTAATCTATATCGGGATGGAAGGAAGCCTGAACCTCCACCAGACTGCTTATCAAGTGCCAAGTGAATTAGAATAGGTTGCGATACCCGACTATCTCTAGAATATAATTTATATTGTAGGGTGTAGACTAATTCTAATTAAGATAACCTGTTTATTTCAGACACTAGTAAACCTGTCAGGTTGTCCCTACATCTTATTGTTAATAGAAATTTACCACCAGAAGCTGAAAAATGGCCTCAAGAAAAAATGTAAGATGTCAGTTTACTCAAGCAATAAACTGTAACCCTATGGTGGTTATGGTCGTATATCAGGACAACTAATGCTAACGCGCATTTATTCAATTTCCCAGCCATAGGGTAACAGCTTTATTGCTTATATTTACGTTTTCAAGACATTCTAATTTTGAGTCTTTAGTATGAATTTAAGTAGGGCCTATTTCTTTACGTTTCAACGTTCGGGACTACTGACATGATTGTTTACATTGGAGACCATCTATTTGATACAATGACATCAATGAATAACAACGTCATTGGTTAAAATTACTACGCCTAATGTTTTGGTGATGAGGCAATGGCGTTTATGGAGATATAAACACCACACGAATTTGTATCAGTCCAATGGAAAATATAATAGCCAATGTAAATATTTGTTGATAAGTCTTACATACTGTATCATCCTTAAAACCAGAACCCATTATCAATAAATAGATGGGTTCATTGTATCCAAACTGTATACAAAGCTATTTAAGGTGATGACACTACGATAGAGACTGCTTGTACTCATGAAGGCCTAATATTCATTCCCTTATCAATATAAAGATGTTATTGTGGTCCACTTTATCCAAATATCTTTGTATGAGGCAATCAAAATGATCTTTTCATACTACAGATGTTGACTGAACTCATGAAGGCCTAATATTCATTCCTTATCAATATAAAGATGTGACAGTGGTCCACTTTATCCAAATAGCTTGATATAAGGCAATGGTTTTTTTCATACAAATGAGTTCAATTAGACAACCTATTTCATATAAGCCTATAGATTCTCCTTTTTTGTATCAAATAGACATCCATACACACCTGTAAATCTGTTTTCAGAGTAAAAGCTTTAAGTGAAATAACTCATTTACGTCTGGATAGAGAGAATATTAAAGAAATTGATAGTCTTGAACTTCTAGGAGAAAATGTTAAAAATGTTTATCTACAACAAGTAAGTACATGATGATCGTTTGGTTCAAATAAAAAAAATATTGTGAAAAATTGTGAGCTATGTGGGCCAGGTACAGTATGACAGAAATTTGAAGTGTTCCAGAAGAATGGACATTGGCCTACTATGCTATATTAGTAGAACCTGCCACAATACTTATTGTGATGGTTGATAAACCTAATAAATAAAGACAGATATGTCCTCTGATTAATGCCTGTTTATTTAACAGTCAGCCATGTTGGTTCACATAATAATGATACTAAATGGGAGATAACTCTTAGCATTTTATCACTACATAGCTTAGCCTTACAGCTGGTATTACAAGCAATCTAAATATCATTGAACATTACACTTTTCGTGGTGAAGCTCAAATCATAGGATTTCATGTTTCAATTAGAACTAAGAAATGTCCATAAAGTAATATAGCCGCTCAAAACTAATTAAAAACTAGTATTAGAAACGAAAAGAAAGAAATAAACAGCACCATAAGGTGCATTTCACTAATCAATTTCACCTTCTTTAAATCACATGCAATGTAGCACAAAGCAAGTAAATATAGCCATTCTGTCTTCCGACTACTGTCCTGTTAACACCTTGAGGTCTTGTCATGGTTTTCTACATAAAGCTAACAACTTAGGTTCACAATTAATGACCCTTTCTACCTGGTCCTTGGTCAAACCTCTTGGCATTGATCTTTCCTGGATTATTCATTATTATTTACAGCAGGGTCGACTGGAATGATGAGTGAAGATTGTCAGACTTTCACATGGCAACCATTCGCTCCACGTAACCAAGCAAATGATGTAATGTTAAGAACCAACGCTCTAACTGACTGTGTTATAGAACCTCACAACCTTGTGGCAGGCAGTTCAACTAGTTCCTATCATCTGCGACTTAACCTACTGGGCTACAACCTGTCCTCTTTAACCTCTTTTCACATTGTGTTTTCTATCATTTTCAGAATAATATAAGTAAGATAGAGAATCTAGAGTGTTTAAAAGATCTCAAGTTTTTATCTCTGGCCGGTAATTGTATAGAACGAGTTGAAAACCTGACAAGTTTAACGAACTTACGAGTTTTAGATTTGTCTCACAACAAAATAGATTTTCTACAAACAGGTAACAACGCTTGATATATAAACTTTCATCAATAACTATTTAATATCATTGGACCTCAAAACCTAAACTAATTTAAAATCCTGGGACCTCATTCTCAAAACCTAAACTAAAATCCAGATTTTAAGAAATACAGTAATCTGATTGGATAATAAAACCAAGGAATTGATTTTAGTGATTGACCAATCAGATGACTGGAACATTGAAAACATCTTGAGTTTTCCAGAATAAGGCCCCAGATTGTAAGAAATACAGTAATTTGATTGGATAATAAAACTTAACTTAGAATTGATTTTAGTGATTGACCAATCAGATGACTGGAACACTAACACCATCTTAGTATAAAGATTACTGCCCCTGTAAGCAACTCATTTAAGCTACTGTCTTCTAGTTTTGTTGGAAAACAGTACACTAAATTGGATTAGAAGGCCATTCATAAGAATGATTAGACTCCATGACTGTCTCTGTGTAAGTAACCCTTCAGGAAAAATGACGAGTGAGTCTTGACGCCTATGTAACGTTTGCCTTAGATGCAGAAAAGAAGACATTCCTATCATTGGGTACTCAGGAACTGAACCTAATTTTTTACCCTTTTATAATAAAAGGGATAGGTACGCCATTTTTTGACCAATCATACTTTACTCTCAGAAACAGGAATTTTTTAGCCTCGTCATGGGTGTCTAGAATTATCTGCGTTTGAATGTTAAAATGACGACTTGTCAATTTAAGATACTCTGTCATATATGGAAAAGACATATACAGAAATAGTGAGTAAAATTCCTAGTTTGAAGTATTTTTAACAATTCTTGCATTTCTGAAGACTATTTACATCATATTCAAGACAAAAATCAACATCCAAAATGGTGCACCTCTCCCTTTGATAAAGATTTTATTATTATTATTATTATTATTCAGAAAAACTTTTTTAAAATTTCAGACGAGCTGCCAAAATCATTGATTATATTAAACCTAGAACACAATCCATATACAGACAGACCTGGTTATTCTGAATATAGGTAAATTGTATTAAGATTTAACAACAGTCAGATATTTTGATATTTTTTCATTCACCAGTCTTTTTATTAAGTATGACGGCCTGTGGCATTATTTTTTGTTGTTACTTGTGTAATCTATCGATGTTGTCGGGTTTTAACCAGTTTTGAAGGTTATCCACTGAACTGCCGACAGTGAAAAGTCATGTATGGTTGATGATATTTATTATGATGAAGTCACGTACGATGATAGACAATACATAAAAACCCGGGGGGGACATCACAAACATAAACACACAGATGAATGAAAAGATGATGACAAGATGGCCTTCAGACCATGCTTACACGACTACTACATGTTCATCTACATGTTCATCGACAGCAACAGTGGTGATGAATATGCATGATGTCACATGCTTTTCAAACTGGCCAATCAACAAAATTTTTGAATAATATAAGTATGGGCAACTCCTGTTGAATGAAAAGGGTTGTTTTGAGAGGTTTAAATTCACCATCTCATTGTAAACTATTTTGATATACTAAACCAGGATCATATCTATTATTGATAAGGGGGTGTGGTTTAAACATCGATGGGCCTATCAATGATCAGTTGAGACCAAAATCTTCTCATAAACAAGTGGTTGCGTACGATACGCCCTGCACCTACCTCATAAATTTTCAATATAACAAGGACAGTCGTCAATATGTGTAAAATCATACCATAAAATCACCAAGACAACCATTGTAGATTGTTGATTTAAACCATCACACAAAATTTTGACATATTGCCTGCTTACTCTTCCTTCTAAACACCTGATACCACTTTTCATTATGAAATACTCACTCACTTATGATTGATATACTTCCTCATTAGCTGCTACCAATGTTTTGCCAATATGTTGATTTGGATTTCGGGTTTTGTTTTACGGTTCGGATCGTTACTGACCTTAGTACTTGTTGAAACTTTAATACCCTTTGTCGAATCTTACCCAAATCTTTTCTAAGATACTGTGGACTTAAGCACCCTCACCCGCCCCCCTCACCATTAAGTCTTCTCCCCTGCCTGTACCCTGTGTTGTGTGAGGCTTGCACGGTCCTGTTCAAACTTTGATACTCTTTGTCGTATCGCACCCAAAACTTGTCAAAGATCCTGTAGACTCCTCCCTCCCTCCCTATCTGTACCCCCAGTCTTGGGAGGTTTACACCGCCCTGAATTAAATGTAAAATTCTTGTGTATTTATAGAGAAAGAGTGATAAACTATTTACCAAACCTACTACAACTAGATGGAGAGGACGTAAAAAGACCCGATGATCAGGACAATGATAGAGAGATTATCCAGAATGAAGAACCCAATTACAGTCTGAATTCCTTCCCAGTCTCTTCCTCAGATACAGGTAATTACTTGGCTCTGTATATGAGTTCCAGCTTTCCTGAGAGTTCTCAGAAATAGTAATAACAAAAGTACCAACTACCCCAAAACAGAACCAAGTTTTGTTTGAGTATGTTAAAAGGCCACACCATTTCTGGGGTTGATTTGGGTCTTGAAAGATCAAGTTATCATTTTAACTTTCAACAGCAGATAATTCTGGACACACATGAATTTGGAGGCTCAAATTTGGAAGGTGAGATGTGAACACTATTATTGATTAGCTTAGCTAATAAATTCCTGTTTCTGAGACTAAGGTATGATTGTGGAAATGGATGGCGAAACCGTTCCTTTAACACCTTCCCTGTAAGATAAATACAGTACATCATTTTACCGCCATATCTTACTCCATGCCAATTTTCAATCAAACGTCTGTGGTTCTTGCAATTCCATTAAAACTAAGTGTTTGATGATGTCACTAATTGCAAAATATGCTTTATCACATAGGGCTCTTCGCGATTAGTGACCACATTAAACACTAAGTTTTAGTGGAATTGCAGTAATCACAGACGTCTGATTGAAAACTGGAATGGTGCACAATGATGCTACCAGTGTCCCCGATACACATACATAATTTAGAAAACCTCTTTATAATCCCTGTAATGTTATTTTATTGTAGACGTACGACTTGTTGCAGGAGAAATGTTAATGAGATCACAAGATAGATTAGAGTCTAGTCAGGATCGTCATGCCAGACATATTGAAGAACTAAATGAATTACGGCGTAAACATAACGTGGTTAAAACAGGATAGTGCCATTTGATTTAAGTTTATCAACTGTCAGTTTCGAACCTGGGACTTAGATGTGATTTATAAAGGAAGATCAGTGTTAAAGTGATATGAGAATAGTGTTCTCAAAAAAGCACTGGCCTAGGTCATGAAATAAGAAACAAAATCAAAGATTAGTGTTAAGAGTGTATATATTAGATAAGACTGTGTTAAACCTGTTTTTGTTTTTTTATTTCAATGATAATTGTAAGATAATAAGCTCTCTCAAAGATCAAATTGATGTTGGTACAGTCTGATAGAGGAAGTATGACGAATTGGGGTGTGGTTTGGACACGATCTGTATAGGTCAGATTAGTGCTGGGAATCGTCAATTATGCCACAATATTTTGTATTGTGAAACTGGGTTCACTTCGCGATATGGGGTAATGGGATAAAATCAATTTGATATTTGAGAGATCCTTTTATCTTACAATCAACATTAAAATATAAAAATAATCTCATCAAAGGGTTGATATTCTTATGGAATTCTCACAAAACACCAATTTTAATAAGCTGCCTCATTCAATATTCAAGATATTTGTTTTACAATTGAAGTTTTTATTCATGTTTATTTGTGAGTAAAGAACTATTTAAATATATAGAAGACTAAAATTCTTCCTGACACAAAAAGATATCCAATGACCATTCCAAATATTAACAAGTTTAATCAATGATACGGGGCAGAATCGTGGCAATTAAAACTATTCACTCCCTTCATCAGACCAAATAAAGTTTTGGTTCATTTTAAATCATCCCGCTTTTTATTGATGTACAGATTTTCAACTGAGACAATAGCTGTCGTCAGTGGTAAAAAAAAGTAGTGAGAATGTTGCTCAGCTCTCAACCTCCAGCTCAGCTAATTTGTTGTCTGCGGCAGGTTTTAAGGTCTCCAGATTGACTCTCAACAATCCAAAAAAAATTTCCATTTTCTCCCTTAGTTTTACATCCTTCTGTCCTGCACCTTATTAGGCTAATGAAAATGTGCAAAGCAATGCAGTGTTCAATGAGGGAAATTTTGCCAAGCCTACTCTTTTTTCGATTTCCAACTGTCAAAAGATCTTAATCATTTACAGTGTTGATCTATTTCCCATCTGATAACAAAATGCCAAGTAAGCTCCCTCCATATTGTATCACTGACAGGGGAAACTGGGTTGAACATTCTATCAGGAACAAAAAAACAGACATAAAGGAGAAGCATATAATGCATTTTATTGATAATATGATGCATAAAGATTAAAACATATCTTGATAGAGTTGAATTATTTGATCAATAATATTATTATTGTTGTGTATTCTGAAATCTACTTTTGATTAGTATTTTGATAAATGCCACTCTTCATCAATGGCTTTCAAAACTGACAGCCATAACATTAACCAATAGACACCAAAATTTGGTATCTGATTGGTTTAAAATTTTTGTTGTAGTCGTCCAATCATATGACAGTAAAGTTTAATTCGTACCATGTTCATTTTTTGAGAAATTCGAGGCAGGACTAACATTAACAAATATATATTTTCAATTTCTGTAGTCTGACTAGAGCTCTCTCTTTTCATTCTGCTACACGTTTTGGATAAACAATCATAATCAGGGGCCTTATTCTGGAAAATTTAACTTAACATAATTTTAGTGTTGCAATCATCTGATTGGTCAATCACAAAATAGATTTTAAATTCTGTTTTATTATCCAATCAGATAACTGTACTGTATTTCTTAATATCTTGAAGTTAAGTTTTGGAGAATATGGCCCCAGGACTGTATATTCAACCCATTTTGCCACACGTTTCGGATAAACAATGATAATCAGGACTGAAATCTCAATCTACACCTGAATCAGATTGTGTATTGTAGGTAATTCACAAAGGTAGATTTCAGAATACATTATTAATTAATATCATCAAATATAAATCTACAATCTGATTGGAACAAAGTAGAAAGAATTAGTTATTGAATTAGTATCAGCCCCGTCGCCAGGAATGAATTGGTGCTGGAACTCAGATTTTATACTCAGAAAACTTGAAGAATTAAAGGCCCAGAGAACTCATTTCTGACAATTTTGAAGAGTGCCGAAAAACAAAATATATATCTTTTTGATTTATTACAAATACACTGTAAATGAATCAATCTCTGCTGAACTGAAGAAGGTTTTGCTGGGGTTTAATTCTCACTTGCTGGGGCCCAGCCCCCATGGACCCGACCCTAACGACGGGGCTGAGTACTATATAACTGATTTTCCTATTTATGAGTGTTTATTCATAGTTTCTAGAAATAGAAATAATGAATTTTAATGGTCCGTCAAGATAGGGTGTTGCCATCCTATAATTATTGTAACTTGTTAAAATATCAAGAAATCTTGACCGATTCTTTTTTAAATTTGTTGTGTATCAGGCACACTGATTGAATCAATTTGCACCATTCTAATTTTCAGTCAGACGTCTGTAGTTCATTCAATTCTACTAAAACTAAGTGTTTGATGGCGTCAATAATAACGATGTTATAAAGTATATTTGACAATTAGTGATGTCATCAAACACTTAATTGATACCAGTGTCCCTGATACACGTAACAAATTTAAAGACCTCTTTACAATTCCTTTAAGACTTATTTGTATAAAGGATTCAATTGGTGATTTGCAACCGATATATTCGGGCCGTTATAACCCAATTCTATCTTAAATCCCAATAATTTTTTAATTGGAAAGATCTCCAAAAATCATTTTATGTCATAGGAAATATTCCTCCCTTCCTCACTCAACTAAATTTTGCATATTCATATGATTAAGTAAAAAAAATTAAAATTACAATTTTGTGACATAAAATTAATGTTTGAACATGC